TTAAAACGAGGAAAGAAGGACTATGGTAATAAACCCAAATATATAGGCCCCTAGGGGAGTATAAGATATAAAAAAAATTCTGTGTAGACAGAAAGAGAATTTTGTTTGTTCTTTGTTTCCGTTAGGAGGGCTGTGGGTAATCATTTCTGTCATTTTATACTCACTAGGAACCTATATACTTTGGTTTATCGCCATATTTCATTTTTCGCCCGGATATGTACCGTTTTCCGCCATGACAACGTAAGAAGGCATGTTGCAAAACAGACCAGGCAGAACTTTCAAGTGTTGAAACGGGAAATCCTTGGTATTTTTTTTTTTTTTTTTTTAATTTGCAGGTCTGATGAATTGGATCGTATTTACGATTCCAATGGAATAAATTATGACCATGGAATATTAGTGTTTAAGCCTTTTCATTATATCCTTACTCTGTTCTGGACATTGAGTTCTACCTGGATTCTATCCTCTTCGAATAATTTTTTTTGTACAAATATATATGTATGTGTATATTTACCACTATATATATATATATATATATATATATATATATATATATATATATATATATATATATATATATATATATATATATATATAGTGAATTTGCGACCCTGGGTTTCACGCTTTTCGATCGTTAGAGTTTTTCTGACGACTGCAAAAGCGTGAAACCGCGGATCACAAATTCACAACAATCCAACTAAATGTTAGCTCTATGACTGATATTGAGCGCTTTCCAAGAAGTACCGCGCATATATATATATATAAATGATATATATATAAAATTGCATATATATTTTTATTTATATACATACACATTTCACACACACACACGCATATATATATATATATATATATATATATATATATATATATATATATATATATATATATGTGTGTGTGTGTGTGAAAAATATATAGGAAATAGTAAGGAACTGGTTAGTTTCCAAAAAGAATTTCGCTTGAAGATGGAACAGAGCTTACTTTAACTCAATTTAATTCAAATAATTATATTGAAGTTTTCGGCTCTTGTTTTGAAACATGAGACCTCTTATGTCGCGATTTGGAATCATATTTTTAAATAATATATATATATATATATATATATATATATATATATATATATATATATCATGTTTAGCATTTATTTAATAAACATCAAGTTTACCAAGAGAAGTTTTCTGTTCTATTGAAACACAGATATTCAGATATTCAGATAATGGTTTCAGTCATCTCATATTCTTTGAACACACACATCGGTGACGTTAAATTTAAGCAAAATTGCTTATTAATTAATTCGGTATTTCGATTTCCAATTCCGAGCCGTTGTCCATTACCCTAAACGTACATCCAAGCTTACAGCACCTGATAATCACCCACCAAGGTACTCACCAGACTCGAAGAATATTTTAGATTGTAAAAATATTTTAGACATAATAATGATTTACTGAAAAGAATTCTACTAATTAAGCCATAGATGGGAGAGGTGGATTCATGCCTTTCCCAAAGGTTATTTGTGCGTAAGTGAATATAAAGAACTTGAGTGGAATTCGGCTCTCCGCTTACAACACTTGGTATTCCAAAGCGGTCACCCATCTAGCTACTGGCCAGGATCGACATATGCTTAACTTCGGTGATCGTACGAGAACTGGTGTTTCAACGTGATGTGACTGCAAGCCCGATAGATAAATAGAATTGAACAACCTGAGATAGATAGATAAATAAATATATATAGATATCATCTATTATTTCTGAGCTGTCACTCATCTTGGTACTAACCAGGTACGTTGCTTAACTTCAGTGATCGTACGAGAACCGATGTTTCAACGTGATGCTGCCGTAAGCCCGATAGGTAGATAGAATTGAACAAACTGAGATAGATAAATAAATAGATAGATATCATCTGTTAGTTCTCAGCGGTCACTCATCTAAGTACTTACCAGTTTCGACGTTGCTTAACTTCGGTGATCGTACGAGAACCGGTGTTTTCACATGGTGTGGCTGTAAGCCAGATAGATAGATAGATAGATAGATAGATAGATAGATAGATAGATAGATAGATTTTAACAACCTGAGATACCACATAGCAGATAAAAGCCTCCACTATGATCTAACTTGTATTGTGGCATATTCTTGATCGTAGATATTTATATGCGCATGCGCCTGTGTGATTTTATATTTGCATGTGACTATATGCAATTTCCTAATCGCATACTTATGTACGTTTTATGTTCCAAAATAGGACTGTATAAAGTCTTTAGACGCACACACACACACACACACACACACACACACATATATATATATATATATATATATATATAAGTGCATTTTATGTAATATATATTATATATATATATATATATATATATATATATATATATATATATATATATATATATATATATATATATATATATATATATATATATTCTCAGATTGTTAGATGCATATTAACCTACATATTGAATCATCCACATACACACACACTCACATATCTTAACAGGTGTAAAATGAATATATATAAATGTGTACACGATCTTACTAAAGGCATCATATATATATATATATATATATATATATATATGAATAAACATAATTCCGTTTATATATTGATAAGCATTTACATAAAGAAAACATCTGTATGTATTTGAATGCACATATATAATCAAATTTATTTATATATATATATATATATATATAAATATATATATATAAATAGATAGATATCATCTGGCATTCCTCAGCGGTCACCCATCCAGGCTCGACGTTGCTTAACTTTGGTGATCGTACAAGAACCAGTGTTTCAACGTGATACGGCAGGAAGGACGTGGATAGGAGAACATGAATCTTTAAGTTTTTGCGCCAAATGTCGGGTGCTTTGATATGGAAGCAATTCAAATATTTTCTTTCAAATGTTTCTCAACTTGTTGAACTAGTTTTGTCGGATCAGTCACAATCGCCATTGTTTAACAGCTAATATGCTCTAGCCTTCGCTGCATCCGTATACGCTGGACTAATGTCTTTAAATGCCTCCATAGCTTTACTATCATTTCGAAATCCATACACTAGACAATGGCGAGTATGTTGGTTTTTAAAATTATAAGACTCCATGGGATTAATCTCTGAAATGCATATAAATTGTCTCATTATCGGATACTAGAAGTTATAAACTAGATATGATATAGGATTCTACCATATTTTAATTCTTGGTTCTGTCTTGGTTGGTTGACACATAATTCATAGAGGTGAAATACGGCATTATTTTCCGCAAAATTCTAATAGAAGTGACAGTCAACTAATTCTAGATGAAGTTTCTCTTTTCCCCCATTCAACCTTAGTTCTATATCAGTTGGTTATCACAAAACTCATAGCGATGAAATACAAAATTACTTTCTGTAAAATCCTAAAAGAAGTGAGAATAAAATAATTCTATATGCAGTTTCTGTTTCCTACAAATTCGACCTCATTTTGTAGACACAAATCTCATAGCGGCAAATTTCATTACATTTCGGAAAAATCCTAATAGAAGCGATAATAAACTAATTGTAGATGTAGTTTCTGTTCCCTAAAATTCGAACTTGGTTCTGTCGCGGTTGTTTAACTCATAAATCATAACGGTAAAATACGACATTACTTTCTATAAAATCCTAATAAACTAATTCTAGATGCAGATTCTGTTTCCTACAATTCAGCCTTGGTTCTACCTCAGTATGCCATAACTTGTAACGGAGAATTATGACATTGCTTTCTAACAAACTCTAATAGAAGATATAGACTAATTGCAGATAAATTACGTGCAAATGTTGTTTCCTACCGCTCAAATCTTGGTTCTGCCTCGATTGGTTGACTCATAAATCATAGCAGTAAAATACGACATTGCTTTCCGCAAAATCCTAGTAGAAAAGATAAACTAATTCTAGATCCAATTTCTGTTACCTATCCACATCCACATGTTATCCTCCACATTGTTGTGGTGGAATACGATATGTTTTTTCTCAAAATCCTAATAGAAGAGATAGTAAATTAATTCTAAATTCATTTTCTGTTTCTTAGTATTTAATCTTGATTCTGACTCGGTGGTTGACTCATAAATTATAGCAGTGTAATATCACATTACTTTCAGAAAATCCTAATAGAAGAGATAATAAATTAATTCTAAATTCATTTTCTGTTTCTTAGTATTTAATCTTGATTCTGACTCGGTGGTTGACTCATAAATTATAGCAGTGTAATATCACATTACTTTCAGGAAACCCTAATAGAAGAGATAATAAATTAATTCTAGATTCATTTTCTGTTTCCTACCATTCAATCTTGGTTCTGACTTGGTTTGTCGACTCATAGCGGTTGAAGTCAACGAACCGATGGCGAACCAGTGTTAAATGATAGCCACTGCATTTAGAATCAGCTTCTTTCTTCTAGTAGTGTTTTCGGGAAGTAAATTTAGTTTTTCTACTATGTGCCGTGTTCCATAATCCCCAAAGTTCTCTTTACAAATTGGCATACAAATGGAATGAGTCTGACTTGAGCCTGACGTGAAACTGCGCGTTCTAACTGTGAAGGTCAGAACTGGTGGGACTAAAGAATACATCTCGACTGAATATTTACCACCTAGATAGTGATAGATTTGCCTTTAATATTTCCTATGAGTTTCATATTCTCCAAGCTATCTTTCCTCATTATGCATCTCAGAAGTTTCCAGAGCCTCTTTTTGATTCTATGTACAGGTATACCTAGAGTTACGTCGTTTCGAGTTAAGTCGTTCTCGATTATACGTCGTTTGTCAAAAAATATGTGGAAAAATAAAAATCAAGTTTAAGTCTTTTTATTCGACTTTACGTCTGTCCGCCACAAATACTGAAGTCGTAATATCACTCAAAAAGCGTTAAAAGCACATAAAATCATGGTACTGTACAATAAATAAGAATAAAAGTATATAGAATCATATTAAAATACGTCCATTTACATTAAATGTTAATATAATCATCATAAATCCTGGTATTTTTTTAAGCATTTCACCCCAAGCAAGGCGGGAAGCCACTAGGACGCAAGGGGTTACAGAAAATTTAGAGCAAGATCAGATAGGAGTGATAGAAGAAAGGATGAGGGTAGTGGATAGATCAAGGCAACTGGAGATGTCGATTGACATTACACTTGAATAGCTGGAGATTATAGCTCACAGGGAACAGGAATAGGGAAGGGAGTTCCACAGGTGAGAGGTGCGAGACATGAAGCTATTGGAGTAGAAGAGCCGGCTACATTTAGGAGTTTCGACAGTGAAGGGGTGAGAGCGGGATGCCAGCCTCGTAGGGCGCTGGAACTCATGACGTCTGGGAACCAGCGAATGCAGCTCCTCGGAGCAATGTCCATGAAAGTATTTGTAGAACAGACAGAGGGAGGCGACGGTGCGTCTGTGAGAAAGTGACTGTATCGAGACGCCAGAGCAGGGCCAACCACATTGCATATTCGCCTCTGGAGCCTATCAAGAACCCCGAGGCAAACAGAAGGGGCACCAGACCATATATGGCAGCAATACTCCATGCAAGGGCGAATTGTGAATTTGTATATCTGGAGGATCGACTCCGGGGAGAAAAACTTCCTAGCGCGGCTCAGGGAGCCAACTTTCCTTGCAGTGGACGAGGCAATTGACTCAATGTATTTATTCCATCTCAGGTCAGCAGTCAACGTGAGACCGAGAAGCCGCAGAGAGTTGCTCTCAAGAAGTTGAGCGTCAGACATTCTAATGGAGGGAAGGGAAGGCTCTCTGTGGTGATTAACAGAGAGCAGTTTTGTCTTCGAAGCGTTGAAGTTGACCAGCCAATTCATGCCCCAGTTCACAATCGATTGGAGGTCCTTTTCGAGACGCACGGGCAGGTGAGTTTTGTCAGTGAGACTAGATATGTTTTTGAGGCAGGAATAAATTATGGTGTCATCCGCCTAGATGGCAACTTGGGAAGTTATGGCGTCAGGAAGGTCATTTATGTACACAAGGAATAGAGTAGGGCCTAGGATGGAGCATTGAGGAACACCTGCGTTCGTGGGATAGAAACTGGATGAGAATCCGCTGAGAGAACACGAAATTTATAAATATTGGTAAATTTAACATAAATTAGTTTATTTTCTAGTATCGCAAAATAATTTTAATAACTGTATTTGTTATTTAACCATACAAAATCATTTTAATTTTTTGACAGAGGACGGTAAGTGCGACACTGAGATCCGTACATATGTTAATTATGTTTTATGAATATGTCCTGAAGATGGTCTACTAGCCCGAAACGTCCGACGTTGACATTATATTAACATTAAAACAGCATAATTGAATATTAGGATTTTTTTTTGTTTTTTCCATATATTTTTCTTCATAATTGTAAATGTAAATGTTTACCAAATTTGGCGATCTTTACAGTACATCGCGGACTCTTTATTTTTGAATGTGGTTTGCGTTTCTTTTCTTTTTATGTGCCATGTCTTTTCAGGACATAGGCGATCATGTCTCTCCACGTCCCTCTATTCCTTGCAGCTCTCAACAAGTTCCTTCCCTTTGCTTCCACCCCAAGACCACGTTCTGTCGCCCACTTGCTTAAGCCCGCTAAGTATGTCACACGCTGTTTTTCCTTGTCTCTCTTTCCCTCTGTCCGTGAGTATCAAATTCTCCAGGCCCTCCTTCCTCATTATGTGTCCCAGAAAATTCAGATGCCTCTTCCTGGTATTAAGTATAAGCCTCCTCCTTGTTTGCAACCTCTCTAAGACCTCCTCCTTGTTTGCAACCTCTCTAAGACCTCATCGCTCGATCCATGATATTCTGTCGGATCTATATCCATATATTTGCTTACATTTACAATTATGTACGTATATGTATTCGTAAATTTAGATTAGTTTTTTTTCTGTACTATATTTAAAACTAAAATTTATTTGTAAGCTTAAAATAAATTCTTATTGACCATATATTATTTAAAATGCATTTATAAATAAAATACAGAACTGGGAGTAGTTATTTGTGGTTAATCCTAGTGACAAGTAAATTCGGAGACAAGTAAATTCGACTTACGTCGTTTTTCAACTTAAGTCGTTTTTCAACTTAAGTCGTTTTTCAACTTAAATTGCCTCTCGTGGAACAAATTACCGACGTAAGGTATTTAGTCACCCACCTACGAGGGCATCATGTAGCACAAGGCCGGTTTAACGTGGGATCTCCGAGCCCGTAGGCTCGGCCAAAAATATGCCCTTTGAAGCCGTATAAACGGGTTTAGGGTCGGTTTACCTCCCCGAAAAAGACTCCGCCCTTCGGCGTAGCCTCGTTCGGGTTCCTCCCCGCCCGAAGGCAGAGAGTTCAACCGATCAGCCGGTCGCCCGACTTCGGACTGAACTACCGACGTAAGGTGAGGTATACATGTACAAGTGTCTGTCACGCTTCCATTTTCCTTAAAACTCCTTTGATGATCACGTGTTCTGTTTATGGAATTCCCAGTGTCTTTCTGTAGAACCACATTTCAGATATCTCGTGCCTCTTCTTTATCTGTAAGGAACTTGTGCAGCATTCACTGCCATATTGGCACGATTATGTTGCATAGTAGTCAAACGTACTATTTCGCTTCTGCGGAAGTGTACGTTTCAAGCAAGACGACAAAGAATTCAATTGAAAGAAGATTAGCGCCAATCAGATATTTAAATCGGTTTGCAACTGACGATGCGCATGTTTTTGTGTTTAATGAAGTGTGCTTGTTTAGAGGAAGTAGAAGAGAAGTGGGAGGAAAGAAAGAAGGGGAGGCAAAGAGTGAGAAATGAGGAACGGAAGAGGTAAAGAAGGAGGGCTACTTTGATATAATGATTAATAATCATCCACTTCCACCGCCTTGTCGTTGTCTATGTAACCGATCGAAAACATGTGTCGGTCTTGAGCTATCCGACCATCACCGGTCATTTGTGCCCATCCACCATCGTTGAACACCGATAAAAAACGGAAGACATTGAAAATCTCGTCTTTCTTTATCCATTTGAACGATTCCTTGTTTCGTATGACAAATAGAATAGGACAATAAACAAAATAAAAACAGGACCTAGCGAAGTAAAAAAAAAAGTTGGGAAGTAAAAAGTAAAGGGTATATTATTGTAAGAGGAAGAGAGAAAAGTGAAAAAGAGACAGAGAGGTGAATATATTTACAATTCCAACCAAATCGAGTTGCTGATTGGTTGAATAATTCCAACCAAATGGTGTTGCTGATTGGTTGATTGGTTGAATTATAAAGGGATGAACTCACTTATTCTTACCTCGATTTTCCAGAATTAGATTATCCAGAAGGGAAATAAAGTGGAAAACTGAAATAATCCGAACAGTTTTCAATAATCCGAATTAAACCATTTGATGAAAGCAATGATTATATTAGACAACCAGAAACTACCTTTGCAGATACGCAAGTAAGTAAAAAAGTTATCCGCAAGTTCGTCATAACATATATTTAGGTTTCTCACACTGCTTTCAGCTCATGCGTACTTATAGTTGGTGCTATTGTGGTCACGTGATCGAAGTTTGAGCTTGATCACGCCAGTTTTCTTGTTGCGGTTACAGTGTAAACATGGCCGCTCCGCTGACAGTGTGCACCAAAGAGGAACAAAGAGCAGTGATTTGATTTCTCTGGTCGGAAAGTGTGTCAGTGGCTATGATTCATCGGAAGCTTTTAACACAATGTGGCGACAGTGCACTGCCGCGGAGAAGTGAGTGGATCGAGAAGTTTAAAAGTTGCCGGACAGAGAACATGCTACCTCATCGTTGATAACTCGACGGTTCGCCATTACCATCTTTCCAGCTTGCTGAATGTTCTCGTCAGTGCGTCACACTTTTAAACTTCTCGATCCACTTATACACATTTCTACGCGGGGGCACCTCGAGGTGGTGTAATGGTTAGCAAGCTTGAATAATTACGACTGAGTAGTGAGTTCGACCCTCATTAGGTGCCCTATACTCACGGCCTTGTGCCACATCTGAGCTACGCTTGGAAAATCACTACACATTTCTATGCGGTTAGGTACTATGACAGTATTGCGTTAAAAGCCTCCGATGAATTTTAACTCCTGACACACATTCCGACCAGAGAAATAAGATCACTGCCTTTGGTTCCGCCTTGATGCACACTGCTAATGGAGAGGCTATGTTTACACTATACAAGCAGCGAGAAAACTGATGCGTTCAATATCAAACGTCGATCACGTGGCCGCAATAGTACCACGCATGAGCAGAAGGCAGTGTGACAAAATATAAATATATATAGGGTGTAACAAAAATACATTTATAAAATTTCGGACGGCTTTCTAACACCTAAACAAATTAAAATTTCCATATAAACATATCTCTAAAAGGCGATCGTTGTACCCCAACACAGCAACTCATTATACATTTTCAAAATGTCCTACGCTTGCTTCTATACTAGCGTGCACCCGTTGGATCATTGACTGGTGGATCCTTCCAAATACTCGCAGGCCACCATGACACGTTGAGGATGCGCCTCTGTATTATTAATGTTTGCTGCACAAAAGAATTGTTTTAGTTGGTCTCACAGATTAAAATTCAAAAGATTGAGGCCTGGGACATGCGTAGACCATGGAATCGGTTCACCACTACTATCTTTCAGGGTAGATGTTAGTCAGTGCTTCGCGAATAATGTGAGTAAAATTTGCTGGAGCCCCATCATGCATGAACCGTACGCGTCTTCGTATTAGCAGGGGTACATCCTTTAGCAGGTCTGGAAGTGTGTTCGAAATAAAGTACTTACCAGACAGTCACTTACAATTCCAGCCCATACATTAATCTTAAACTGATGCTGGCGTCTCGCCTGTATTGCACCATGGGGATTCAGATTCGCTTACAAATTTTAGTTGTGTAAATTTGTTATTCCATCTCTTCCAAATGTTGCCTTATCCATAAACAAGACTGAAGAGGAAAACAACGGATTGGCACCTTGTGCAATAAACCTTCGGAAAAGTTATCCTGTGGTGAGTGAGCAGAAGAAGACCCTGCACACGATGCGGCTACAGGAGCTGCTCTTGAAGTATCCGCCTTGCGGTACCATGAGATGTACGACATACTAGGACCACTTGACGTATGCTGATACCTGGATCATCTCTGACAGCCTGTAGAATGTGTTCTTCGTGGTCAGGCGTACAAGCAGATTTCGGTCTTCCCCGATCCATACTTAGTGATGCTGTCTCAGAAACGTGACAATAAACAGCAGCAAAGGTTGGATGACTGGCTGCCTTCGGTGTGGAAACGCAATCTGATATAGCCGTGAAGCGTTGCGTTCATTACCGTTAGCGAATCCGTAATTATATCTGCCTGTTCACGATATGAATATCATGCCATTGTTAATAAATCGAACATTTCTGATTTAACTCACTACTACACACATTAAACGTTAAAGACAGAATAGCCATAAAATTACACAAAGTGTAAGCTAGTATACATGGCAACAGCGCTATCTACCATAAACTATCTTTAAAATGAATTACTCCAAAACGAAGGATTTGCGGACATTTTTTATATGGACATTTGTCCTTGTTTTGAAAATTTTAAAAGTAACTTTTAAGCTTGTGGAGAAGACCTGTATGCCAAACCATGTCAAAGGCTTTCTAGAGGTCAAGTGCTACAATCCGGGCTTCACCGTTTTTATCTTTTTGCAATTATCACCTATAATTCTGCCATTCGTCCATGTTTAGAATATTGCTGTCACATATGATCCGGTGCTCCTGGTATTTACATAGAGCTCCTTGATAAGATCCAAAGAAGAATCAGCAGTATTATTGGTCCTGATCTGGCTGCTCGGATTCAGTCCCCTTCCCACCGCCATAAAGTTGCTTCTCTATGTCTTTTCCATAAATAATTTCATGGTAATTGTTCGGGTGAACACTTGACTATAGTACCTAGGGTTTTTGAATTTAAGCGGAGTACTAGGCTTGCGTCAAGATCTCATCAATTTATAGTTGAGCTGGTTAGATGTAGCTGCAAGTTCTATTCTAACAGTTTCTTCTTTCGCACTTCTTGCTTGTGGAACTCGCTTCCGGCTCCATCCTTTCCAGCCAACTTTAATCTTCAAAAAATTAAATGCAATGTCAATCGCTATCTACTGTCCACCTGACTGTTTCTGTTCCTAATTCTTCCGCATCCTGTAATCTCCTGTGTTTTAGTGGCATTACTGCCTTACTTGAAGTGATACTGATTAAAAAAATTCTAACATTCCAATAGATATAACTTATGAATTATTTATTGAATTCTCGTTACCTGCCCTACCACGACAGTGTGTTTGAGAATAGATCATCATTAACGTGAAGTGCCGCACGTATAAATGCTGGTGGTGCTAGAAATGGCCAGTTCCCTCAGCACTTCCCTTTTTGGGACGGCACAGTCATCAGGGATTGGCCCCTTCTCTAACTCAAAGGATTAATATTTAATAACTTAAATCTTGCAATAGGGGAGGTGCATCCTGGAGGACGGCCTTTTTGTTCAATTTCCTTCTCATGATCAAAACCGATAAGCGGTTACTGTTTACTAAATTTAGCTTAGAACAATGCTACCTATATGTAGTTACGGCCAATCAGATTTGCCTCCATGACTATTACCCAGCGGCGAGATACCATATTGTTTATTAAACTTCTCTTAGTTTGCAATGGGACCGAAAGTATTGAGCACATAGTGAGGATCATATACAATACGCAGTTCTAAAGATCATCCCGATTACCTGATTAACTATTATCTCTTCCACGACTCGCCCTATGATTTGCACAGCGCAGCTAAGTTTGGCATAAGACCACAAGTATGGGGCAATTTTTAAGGATTGAAAATTACTTAGTAGAAATGGTCAAAGACACTAACTCGTTACCCATTACACGACACCCTTGTACAAGCCAACGAGACCCAGAACATGTATATTTGAGCGTGTATATGTGCGTGTACAAAGGTAGAAAGAAGATAGGTAGTATATATATATATATATATATATATATATATATATATATATATATATATATATATATATATATCCATTACATTCACTTACGTGCTAGTACCCTTGGGAAAGGTGTGAATCCTCTTCTCCCTCCAGCTATGGATAAATAGCAGGACAGAATGGGTTCTATAGACTTGGATGGCAACTGGTCTAGAAGAAGGACAACTCTGAATTCAAAACCTAAGAAGGGTGGTTTGGGGTCCCTGTGGCAGGTAGTACACAAAGTCTTTGTATTCGGCCCTTCAAAAAGTGTGGATGGTCCTGCACAAAACCTCCACCACTATAATCAAAACTCATGTGCTGGGGTCGGGCTGTCCGTTTCCTAGGAACTGATCTGCTTGACACTCATACGTCGAATTTGACGGGAGAGTCGAGTATATATATATATATATATATATATATCGTATAAAGGGAAGAGGTTATAGCTGTTCCAACGAGAGAAAAGTGTATATATTAAAAAGAAGAGAAGACACCGCTTTTGGAAAACGTTTTTGGTTGTAATGTGGA